TAAGCACACATGTCTGGAAGTGATTTTGTGGTTCATTTATCCCTAAAAGACTAGTGGTCCTTTGAAAAACGAGAACCAATTTACATTGGCTTCCACATGCCCTACTTTGTATTATCTTAGTAATTTGGATAGTTAACTCCCTGGGTTACAATGTAACCAGCTAATCTAAACAGGATGCATCTGAAATGTCTGGATTCACACTATGGGACTCAAGATTGGTCATGAGAAAGAGAGGAGGAGTGAGGGAGGAGAGAGAAGGAAGGTGAAATATGCGAAGAGCTCCTAAAGAGTGGCTCATTCAGTATAGGTTTTATTCCGTAGAAATTTCTACAAAGTCTGACTTTTCTCAGTATTTTTCCTTTACGTTTTCCTGTCAGCTTTATTTATAATTCTATTATTAAATATTTAAAAAGCTGTAATTGCCCAGAGTGCTGTTGGGAAGAAATAATCAATTTTGTTGAAATTCTGTTCAATTTAATTAAATAGAAGCTGTTCGCTCTTTAGCTTTCCTTGGTGGAAAAATCTTTTGAAGATTTAACTTACTAGTTTAGAAAATAAAATGTACTAAATTATACTTAATGTTTCTTTAATGGTTAGTCATCTTCCAATTGTTTCAATGATTAGCTTTTCTATAAAATTTAACACAAAATTAAGTAGCATGAGAATTAATAAAGACCTTACATTATCTTAGTGAGCTTACTAAATCAAAGTTTTTTATCTATTAAAGTCTGCCTTTGTTGTGTTTCAAATGGAAGGACAATAAAAATATAATAAAACCTGAAAAATACATTTTGATAATTGGACATTTGATATTTGGGATATATCTTCATTACTGCTACTCTATTCTTCATCTGGATATTCACCATTATCATAAATACATATCTTTGTCTTTCCTTCTAGCTCTTACTTCAGCATCACTATTATCAGACTGAATTCATATCTTTATAAAATGATTATTCTTTGTCAAGCATTTAATTGCCTTTTTCATGTCTTAGCTGATGTGTTTTGTCTTTTTTTAAAATGTATCTTTATCATTGAAAGTATTACAGATGTCCCCCTTTTTTCCCCATGGACCCCTCCCACCCCGCACCTCCTCTCACCACACTATTGTCTGTGTCCATGGATTATGCATGTATGCATTTAAGTTCTTTGGTTAACCTCTTCCTCCTCCAAACCTCCCCTTTCCCTCTGAGATTCGACAGTCTGTTCCATGCTTCTATGTCTCTAGATCTGTTTTATTCATCAGTTTATTTTGTTCATTGGATTCCACATATGAGTGAGATCATGTGATACTTGTCTTTCTCTGACTGGCTTGTTTCACTTAGCATAATACTCTCCAGGTCCCTCCATGCTGTCACAAGGGTAAGAGAAACTCCATTTTTATAGCTGCATTGTATTCCATTATGTAAATGTACCACAGCTTTTTTATCCACTCATCTACTGATGGGCACTTGGGCTGTTTCCAGATCTCAGCTATTGTAAATAGTGCTGCATATATTCTTTCTGGCTGATGTTTCAAGATTCTTAGGATAGATTCCTGGGAGTGGGGATCACTGGATCAAATGTCAGTTCCATTTTTTATTTTTTGAGGAAATTCTATACTGTTTTTCATAGTGGCTGCACCAGCTTGCATTCCCACCAGCAGTGTATTAGGGTTCCCTTTTCTCCACATCCTTGTCATTTGTTGATTTGTTGATAGTAGCCATTCTGGTGGGTATGAGATGTTTGATACCTCATTATTGTTTTAATTTTAATCTCTCTGCTGATTAATGACTTTGAGCATTTTTTATATGCTCATATATATCTTTTGGCCATCTGTATGTCCTGTTTGGAGAAGTGTCTATAGAGGTACTTTGCCCATTTTTTAATTGGATTGTTTGACTTCCTTTTGTCAAGTTGTATGAGTTCTTTATATATTTTGGAAATTAACCATGTATCAGATGATTGACAAATACATTATTCCACACAGTGGGCTCCCTTTTCATTTTGTTGATGGTTTCTTTTGCATCTCTGTGATGTATATGTCAGGTTCACCTGTCCAGTCTTCTGCAGGGGTGGGGGAGGAAGGTTACTAGCCTCTAAGGACTGCGACAAGATAGCTGAAGTTCTCACAACTTCTAAAATAGATTTAAGCTTCCTCCTGTTTTCAATACTCCCTTCTCTCTCATTTCCAAAACTAATTTGTGGTACCAGTATGGAGACTTCCGGGTTGAGTAGTAAAATTATTTTGACTCTTGGCTTTTTTCCACCTTTGTCTTAGAAGATCAGCATTTTGGGCTTTGTTAAATTAATTTCTGGCCCTGGTTCGGTGGTTCAGTTGGTTGGAGCATCATCCTGTACACCAAAAGCTTATGGGTTCAATTCTCATTCCGGGCACATACCTAGGTTGCAGGTTCGATCTAGTTGGGGCACTTAGGGAGGCAACTGATCGATGTTTCTCTCTCTCTCTTCCTCTTTCTCTAAAATCAATAAACATATTCTTGGGTGAGGATAAAAAAAATCAGTTTCTGCTTTCTAGGTTTTTATTGCTAGTATCTTCTCTTTATCTCTTTTACATTGTAGGTTCCTTTTTTAGCCCCTTTTGCTGTTATAAAAATAAAATTTTTGTTCAAAAGGACAGGACCCTGTAAATCTACCTTTTTCAACAAAAATTACATTTTAATAGTCTTTCTTGTCAATAAATATACTTCTATAGCAACATTTTAATTGTTTCATAGGAATCTCATTTTAGAGATCTAACTTATCTCCTGTTTTAAACAGGTTGTTTTAAGCAATATTGCAAAGAATTTTCTCATAGCTGAATCTTATATCATTCTTTAATTTAAATAAATTTTAATTGTGACTCCTTTAAAATGTTTCTTACAAATCAACATCTTATTTCCAATAGTATGAGGATATTTCCTTTCTAATGTAGACCATCCTATGTAAACATTTCATTTAATAACTTTTCTCACCAAATGGTTAATTCAGTGTATGTTTAGTTTATTCTACTTACAGGCTATGCCTGGAACAGGATAGGTACCCATTACATATTTTAAGTAGGCATATTCACAATAAATGAAATTTTATTATTTTGTTTATAACTTCGAAGACATGGGGTCTGGTATAGACTGAAAATATCTCATTTGCATCACTTTGTATTACTTTGAGGTAATTCAGGCCATAACATTAGTAGTATTGAGAACCAGAATTCAATTAATTAGCTTAATATACAGAAAATCAGGAAAAATCACCACAGATCTTTTTGTAAATTTCTCATTCTCTGCTATACCAATGGCTGAAGGCATCTATTTGCAGTTTTTAAAAATAACACATGCACACTGCTCACTTCTATTTTGTATATTGCACTTAGGCCTAGAATTTTATTTCTTTAGCCTTACAATCTGTTAGATAATATTTTTGTTGAAATTTGATTTAATTAAAGGCCAGCTGCATGTGCTGAGAGAGATTTAAAATCAAACATTGCTCAGGGTGACAATTTGTGCAGTGATATTGCATGTTGAAAGCTTTTACCCCACTGTCTAGAAACATACAATATTGATTAATGCGTGCGTCCTTCTCAGACATAATTTCTTTCCAGAAGCAGTGGTAGTGAAGAAGGAAAATAAGGAAACTATGTTACATAATGAAACATTGTCTCACTATTTAAAATGTGAAAAAAATTATTTTATATAATATCAACTAACATTTATTAAGTATTACTATGTAACATATATATTCTAAACTCGACATGAGGTAGGTGCTTGTAAGTATCTTCCTCTTAAAGGTAAGGAAATGAGACACAATGAGATTATCTATAAAGTCGTCCGAGGTCAACTAACTGATACATCGCAAAGCCTAATTTTGACCCCAGAATATCTGACTGTAGAGATCATGTCAACTGGAGTGTCTTCCATCAAAATGTAGACTCATTGATACTAATATGAGTAGCATTTGCATGAGTAACTTTTGCATAAACTGATGGGGAAGATGTATCTTTTGAAATGTATCTTAATGATAAGTTTTCATCTTCCTACCCAGTTTTTCAGGTTAAATATTTCAAATAATTTGTTTAAAAAATACATATTATACCTAAAATACAGACTCCTAAGTAAAGAGACTGCTGGAAAGAGAGTTTTAGGGGCCAAATAATCTAGGTTTAAATGCTGGCTTTGTGATTTTTTTTTTTTTAGATTTAAAGCTATAGGACATGTATTTTGTATTTAAATCTAGAATAGCCAGTATTTATGTTTGTTATAAACTGTGCAATGCCGTTACTCGATCACAGTGACTCTGTAGTACCCGAGCGTCCCGGAGGGAGCCCGCGTCTTAGAAGCTGGCATGTTCATATTATGTGCTAAATGTCTAAGATGCTGCTGCCAAAATGTAGTGTCGGGGCGCGCAGGCCCGGCGGCCGTGCCACGGGGGCTCCTGTGCGGACACCGTGGCCGTCACCGGTGGCGTCGGCGCCTGTCTTACAGCGACGGCGCTCCAAGCCTCCGAAGCGGCAAGTCCGCCTTCATTTTAAGAGGAGCAACTTCAGCTTCAAAAATCTTTTTAAGCTTCCAAATGGATCGTTTAAACTATTTCTTTGCCTAAGAGCTAAACTAGAGGCTCAGACGTTTGCTTGTGAAGGTAATAGACTTTCTTAAAGGGGTAAATGCATCCCGCTGGCCAATCGATGTCCGCTCCTACCATACAGATAAAACTAAACTATATAATGGTGTCTCATTGAGCTCCTTGCGCCCAAATACAAGATAGTAATTTTATCAAAGAGTTATGAGAATTTCCACATTCTACATGAGACATATAGTTATATATGCTACCTATAACTATATAATCTCTTATTTATAGTGTATAATTTTAATATAAAAAAACATAAAAATACCTGTCTTCTGTTTGAATCTTTAAATGTCATGAAAATTCAATATTTTGTTTGATGTCACATTATTCTTTAACAAAAGACTTTGGCTTGGCTATGCCTGTAAGCTTAAATGCTTACCTTTTCTCCTTTTCAGCAGACTTCCTTGATAACATGCTTTTGCGAAGTTCAGGAAAATTAAATGTGGGCACCAAGAAAGAGGATGGTGACAGTACAGCCCCCACTGCTCGTCCAAAGATCTTGCGTTGTAAATGCCACCACCACTGTCCGGAAGACTCGGTCAACAATATTTGCAGGTTGGTCATCTACATTATTCAAACCTTGTGTGAACAGAAAGTCCCTACTAAAGACTTGTATGCTAGTGTTTCCAAGAGCACGTTTTAGGGAATAGTGCCCAAGCCCACTGACTCTCAGGGTTGTGCCTGTATTTAGAGAAACCAGGAGTTGCATTTTTCCTGAAATGCTGCTCTGAGATTCTCCTTCCTCCAAACATCACACATGCACATAAAATAAACATAGAGCACAGGTCCCAGGCTCCATGTCACAGAGCAAAACCCAATTATTTTCTTTTAAAAGACCCGATCCCCCAAATTAATTCAACAGCAGGGAGTATCAAATGTGTGTTTTTTGGTTTTGTTTTGTTGTAACCATTTGTCATGCTGCTGGTGCTAGTGTTTTCGCAAGAACTCCTAAGCTGCCAGGATTTATTCAGAAACAGACTCTGGGAAGCAGGATGGTGAGAGGGCTTATGAGAGTCTGCCAGATGACAGGAAAAACATTGTCAAAGTACTAGACAATACACTCCTCAGCAGATAATTCTGTTTGCATAAATATTTTCTAACATTTGAACCTGGACGCTTTGCCTCCTTCTTCCATACACATCTTTATGCAGCCGCATCCATTTCACAGGTCAGTGTAGCTGCACTTTCTCTCCTGGGTGAGGACAGCAGGGGGAGAGGCACAGCCCAATAGGCAGGGTGGCCCAGGGCGAGTGGGCCCAGGTAGCCAGACAAGTGCAGGTCTCAGAAGTGAAATGTCAGAGCACAGTCTGCCTCAGGAAGGATAATGGACCCAATAAGGAGTCGGCTGCTGGGTGAGAAGTGCAGGCAGATACCTGGGCAGCCATGTGGGGGCCTCATTATCCAGAAAGGAGCATGAAGTTGAGTGCATTTTTCCTTACTGAAACCATTTTTTTGTTTTTTATTTCTTACAAAGTGGATCTCATAAAGCTTATCAGTATGTTAGGAAATACATAGCTCAGGAAATAGATATTAACTGAGCGACAGGGAGGGAAGTGGGGTATACACCTAAGGATATATTTCCTTTAATCAGAAAAACAACTGAGCATGGTCAAGGGGATGCTTATTTCTTACCATTGGACGTAAGGGCTTTAGGATCCAGAGAGGCCTGAGAGCTTGGCTCTTGTACAACAGAGCAAGGTTGGGATCACTGAGTCTCGAAAGGTAAAATGATTCTAAGCTCAGACACTATTTCCTGGGGAACAGTGCCTTTTTAAAATTTATTTTTATTTATTTCAGAGAGAAAGGGAGAGGGAGAGAGAGAGAAACATCAATGATGAGAGGGACTCATTGATTGGCTGCCTCCTGCACGCCCCCCACTGGGGATCGAGCCCGCAACCCGGGCATGTGCCCTTGACGGGAATCGAACCCGGGACCCTTCAGTCCCCACGCTGGCGCTCTATCCACTGAGCCAAACCGCTAGGGCAACAGTGCCTTTTTGTAGTGAATAGAAAAAGTATCAGGAATTTTACAAAGTTTACTGAAGACAGTTAGCAGGCGGAAGCATATTAGGGGGCTATATTGCTTTTTTGTCTGAGTCTCTAGTAACTAAGAATAAATCTGTGTGTGTCATTTAAATCATAGTTCTGGTGATCATACATTCAGGCTTTCTAAAACTATCCCAATTTCACGTCTTTTGTCCTGTTTTCCTTATAGGCCATCAAAGTGTCCTAAGTTCATTGGGAAGACAGTGTTCAGGCAGGGTTAACTGCAATGCAAATCCTCTGTGTGGGAAGGGGAACCTCTATGTGGTTTTCTTAGAGTACAGGGGGAGGATACGTGGAAGGAGTTGAACCTCGAGACTAGGGAACGATTGCCAGTGGCCACGTGGGCTGTGTCACAGATGTTGGTCTTATTCCTGAGAACATAGGAAGCCGTGGAAGCTAATGTTTAATTAAGCAGGAGAAACAGTGATGATTAGCTTTTTTGAAAAATTTTCTTTTCTTCAGAGTTTTGGATGTATTAGAAGGAAACAAAAATGAATTTGAGAACAACAACAGTTAGGTAAGGGAAATTGAAAAGTGGATTCAGGAAGGACAGTTCGTGTGAGAGAACATGATCTTGTACGAGGGTGGTGCTGGTGCAGGAGAGGTGGATGTGTTGGAGAACTATTTAGAAGGAAAGTTTTATGCTGGTGAATTGTATATGGGAGGGCTTCACACGTTTCTGGTTGTACATTTAGATGCATAGTATAGCCTTTCAATGAAGAAGGACAAAGGAAAACAGTCGGGTTCCAATCTAGGCATGTTGAGTTTAAGGTTTCTAACACATCTAAGTGAAAATATCAAAGGGTAGGCATAGGGTGTGGATTTGGAACTCAGATACAAGGTTGGGGAGGGAGTGAGTCAGTTTTTGCTATGGAACAAGTTCAAAATCATAGTGGCTTGCAACTAAAGACTATTTATGTATTTATTTTAATCCTCGCCTGAGGGTATTTTTCCATTGGTTTTTTAGAGAGAGTGGGAGGGGGAGAGACAGAGAGAGAAACATGGATGTGAGAGAGACACATCAATTGGTTGCCTCCTGCACACAACCTGACCAGGGCCAAGGATTGAGCCTGCAACCGAGGTAAGTGCCCTTGACCAGAATTGAACCTGGGACCCTTCCATCAACAGGCCATGGCACTCTATCCATTGAGCCAAACCGGCTAGGGCTATTTATTTTTATTTTTAAAAAATTCCTTGTTCTACAAATGGGCTGCCGCTGCGTTGAGCTATGCTGGATTGGGTGTGCTTGGCTTTGGTCTGCTACTTGAGCTCAGGCCTACTCCACATGTTTCTCCATTCTTTTTGGACCAGCAGCTACCCAGGGCATATTCTTTCTCACATTAGTGTGGGGGAGCAAACTTTTAAAGCTTCTATTTGTGTTGTGTCCTCTAATATTCCATTTACAAATCATATGTCATAGTTAAGCTCAAAGTCAAGGATACTATGTCTAGGGTGGGGCATGAAGAATTGAGAACCGTACTAGAATAATCCAATCTACCAGAGGAAGACAGCCTTGAGGCATGTCATGCTTGGGTAAAGGAGGCTCTCCCAGGAGACTGAGAATTAGCAGTGAAGTCTGGTGTCATTAAAGCCAAGTTTACAGAGGGAGGATGCTGTTAGAGGTCAAATAGGATAAGAACTGAAATGCAGCAATCACATTTATTGATCTTGATAACTGCTGTTTAGAAATATTTAATGTGGAAGTAGCAATGGAAGCCAGATGGGAATGGGTTGTGAATTATATGGTTTCAAACTTTGATTTATGACAGCAAAAAAACAAAAACAAAAACACCACTACAACCCCAAAAAAACCCCAGCAACAATAACAATGGAACCCCTCAAAAAACATGGATATATACCATGACAGTCAACATGAATCAGTTAACTTGTAGACATCAATAGAAAACTAATACTTACTGAGTATTTTTTATAAACTCTAGCATGTTTATTTTATAGCATTCCCTATAAAAAAAATGTAACATTATCTACATTTTTCAGGTGAGAAATCTGAGGCTCTGAGGGGTTAAGTAATTTTTACTAGGTCACTGTTCGTGCTGATATGATGAGAAAATTGTGGCCAATATTCCAAAGTCCTGAATCCTTGACCAGAAGCCAACGCCTGACACTGGCTCTCAAAGGAGTGAATATTAACTCTTAAGTGAAAATGCAAATCTATTTGCTAATGATATATTGACTCTAGTTGAGTCTCCTGTGCACAGAGATTAATTGTGGGTGAATCACAGGGGCTACTTCTGGTCCTGCTCCCCAAGCCCTAGAATAAGTCCAGCCTTTCTGCCCCCATTCCTGGAAGCCAAGGTTACACTCGTTGACCTTCAAATCAGTACTTGTCAAACTATCTCTGTTGAAAGACAGCCTCCCTCCTCCACCCCCGCACTCCCAATAATTTGTACACTGGTACTTTTCTAAATACAATAAAAATGTATTATAGATTAATTAGAAAAATAAATTCAAAATACTTACAAATTATGTGCTCCTTTTTTCTATTTTCCATTAGATTCAACAGCTAAACGTATTGCTATACAAATTTCAATTTCTGTGTTAATCTCACAGACCAATAATAAGCTGTTTGCTGACTTGAAAGGGAGCACCCTTTGAGTAATACGACACTCATTCCTAGGTATGAAATTTCTAAACACAAGGGTGTCCTCGCTTGAGGCTTAGATAAGGGCTGGTCTAAGCTGTCTGGTTGGCTATGAGGCAGATCTTAGCCAAGCTTGAGTGTCTAGGTAGATCTCATGCTCATTACCACTCCCACATTCCTAGAGAGAATAATCCAAAATGTGGCCCAAATGAAGAGTGCATCATAGTTAAGAGATTCTGAAATCCCACATAGTAATTGAGAGAACCTGTGCCAAGTTTAGAGGGTTTTTAAATTCTTCCTGAGTACCATCAACGATTTACTAGCCAACACCAAGGCCAAAGTCATTCTTGGCCTTGTTTCCTATCAGGTGCAGATGTGTGTGTTTCCAAAATCTGTGCCATTTCCACAGCCTGATGGTGTGCATGTTAGAGGATGTGGTGTAAATATGTCATGCATTGAGCCTTTTTAATATCCATAATTCAGAGTAAGAAGTGAAGCCGTTGTCATATCTCCCTCACGATAATATCTGTCTTCTAAACATCCTTCCAGGTGTTATTTCACACTGTTAATCTTTCCCATTCCATTTCCAGATGCTACTCCTGGAACCACAGACTATCACTGCTTATCACTGGAAAGCTGCACAGTCTCCTTCAATCACTCTTTTTACATGACTTTCACCATGCCAAGATTCTGTCTCATTTTCCTGTCCTACCAAGTGTAATCTCAGCCTGCTTTATTTTTTTCTCTATATAGAATCTGGTCCCACTTTACGTATTTTCCTTTGTTTTACTTGATTTGGTCTTTAATAGTCATTTTTGTCCCTGAATCATCACCTCTCTCAGGTTCCTCCACTCCCTCACACAAGTTTATTCATTTCTAAAATTTATTTTTTGTACTCTTTTCCAGAG